CTTTTATTAGCTTGGAGTTGTCCTTTAAATAAAACTATCTGAGTTGAACATTAAGAGTTTATTCTCTTTTCCAAGCTAGGGCAGCATCTGTTTTCTGGCTGTTTGTGTAAATAACGTCCCTCTTCCCTTGTTTTCTCATAAAATTTGATTAGTGCTCACTCTTTTTTTCCCAGCCTCCTCTGGAATCAATTGCTTATATAGGAGTTCCCTCTCTTTGATATAAGCCCTCATTGTTACATTTAACTTTAAGCAGACGCATGCACAGCTTCATGGAGAATACTAATGCATTCACTTCTGCTCAAGCTTTTGCCCTTTGGTTATAAAGTTATATTTTACTGATTTTTTTTTAAACAAAACTCATGGAATTTGCCTTTTGTTTACACTGTGTTCATGGGATAGAGATTATCTTTTCTAAAAAGTTGAAAAAAAAATCTACTTTTGCAGTGATTGCAAACAATTTATTTAATCAAACGCCTTTGCTATAAAAAGGTTAATTTTCTAAAGGATATATATTTAATTCTAAATATAAATGGTAATACCTTCATAAATTCACCTTATTGTTTTGGTTTGTATTTTTATTTATGTAGCACTACCCCCTTAGGAGTTGCTGATTTGTTTTCAGGTTCCCTGTGGATCTGGACCCCACTCTGAAAGCCCAATCCCTGCTGACACCACAGTACACTTTTAACTGAAATAAATCGCCACCAGAAAGTGAATTCACATACAGATTGAAGTTAACTAGTAAGAGTTTTATAGCAAACTTCAATATGGCTTGGTTACTCAGCATAAACAGAATTGGAATGTGTAAAATCAATTGTTACTTGTGTTGATTTGAACTTAAGGAAAAGACAACACCTATCACAAAATCTCAATTAGTATTAGCAGGCCTGCTTTTCAGAAATTAACCCAATACCTTCAACCTGAGGTGGTCTTACAGTCCCCAGTAAGCAGCTAGGACTATCAAATAGGTAGACTAGGACCTCTCACATTTTGAATGACAATTGCACGGTCATACAACATTGTACCCAAACTAAAATTTTAGCATTTTCTTCACACAACTAGAGCTTTCTTTTGGTGGTATTTAATCACCGCTGGGGTTTTTATTTTTTGCTAAATTAACAAAAAAAGACCAAAAATTTTGAAAAAAAAAAAAAGTTTTTCTTTGTTTCTGTTATAAAAGTTTGCAAATAAATAATTGTTCTTCATAAATTTAGGCCAAGATGTATTCTGCTACATGTCTTTGGTGAAAATAACCCAAATTAGGATGTATTATTTAGTTTGTAGGAAAGTTATAGCGTTCACAAACTATGGGATATATCTGAATATTGATCAATCCTGAAGTACTGACAGCCAATCTAATTTCTTGAGGTCCAAGAATGTCAGAACAGTACAGATATGCCCCACAGTCCGACGTACTTCATAAGAGGCATGGCGAGTTTTTTGAAGTTGTATTTTTTTTGTCATAATTTTTTGGAAAATGAAAAAATTAATGGCGGTGATCAGGGGGGGCACTGACTGGTGACAGTATGAAAAAAAAAATATATATATATATTTTTTTAATTTTTTTAATTATTTTTTATTTTTTATAAAAAAAAATTTCTTTTTTTTAAGATTTTTTTTTTCATATTTCACTATGACCAAAGTAGTACAATGTTACCATAGTAACATTGTACTACTTTGGGGAAGTGATCAGTATTTTTTTTTTTTTTACACAATTTGCTTATAGCAAAGAATTTCTTTGCTATAAGCAAGCATTTACCTGAATGACATCGATTCATTCAGGGTTTTTTTTTTTTTTTGTGCTTAGCTGTGATTTGGCCACAGCTAATCACATGACATGTGCATGTGATTAGCTGTGACCATTCACAGCTAGACACTAGTATACAATGGATGGCATGAATGAAGCCATCCATTGTATACAACTGTCATGTGACCTGCTGTGATTGGTCACAGCAGGTCACATGGTACCGGCAACAGGGCCGATACTCCGATCTGTCATCGGCCGTGTCCGAGGTACACGGCCGGTGACAGATCGCGCTGCTGCGCCGCTCTGCAGGAGAAACCATATGGCGTCCACCTAGAACGCTGATGACATTTGCCGCCCGCCATTCGGCCATAGGGCGGGCGGCAAATGGTTAAAGGCAATGGAAAGTCTTCTGTGTGCGTGATGGGGCCCAGTTGGTGCACATTGAAGAGAAGTGTGGACTGTAACAGTCTGAGGAGCAGTGTAATAAAGGGAGGGAAGACTAATACTCCCCCTGCAAGCAGCAATTTCACAGATGTAATGTTCCTTTAAGGCATTAGTCACTAGAAAATCTAAAGCAACAAGTGGCCAATTTGGTAAAAGTGATTGTTGGCACAGGGCAACTCTTTTTCGAGCTAAAAGACTTTTGGCACAATAGGGAAAAGGCCTCCTTAGCAGAGCGAATTGATGATGATGGTGACACAGTGGTGGTTTGGCCTGTGGACCGACTGTCCTGCTATCAGTTCTGATGATGAGGCTGTGCTAAGTGTAGTCAGACAATAGCGGCTAAAGAAACTAGGCCTCAACTTCTAATAATATAGTAGTATAAGGTGAAGAGCCGGCAACTTGTTCTCCCAATAAAAGTACTTTATTCATAAAGGGTACAGTAAGTTACAGCAGCTTACGCGTTTCGGTAAAAAAAGTATTCATAGTCAGCTTCTAATAACTATGTGTAATGTTCGCAACTGTGTGCAGGAAAATAGCAAAGTTGGAGCGGGTGTCAGTGTTCCCTGTCCTTGATAATGCATGGGACTCTTTCACTGGAGGCATGGCGTTTGGCAAATTCTGGCGAAATCTGCTAGCAGATTAGCTTTCTCCATGATGTGGCAAGGTCAGCGATCAGCATATTCTCCTTGCCTACTCTCTTTCTCTCTTTCCACGGCCTGGTCTGGTCCTCCCACAGTCAGTGCACTCCTCTCTCCATATCTCTCTCCTCTCACTTCCTGTCTCATCTCCTAGTCTTTCAATTATTTATATATGCCTCCGCCCACACGCCAGCTCCTCTAGGAAATGTAGTTCTTTACTACACTGTTCCTTAGCTGAGTCCTGCGGTTCAGCATACAAGTTCTATGGGGCTGCTCTACAGGGTGTGAATGCCACTGTTCTGCAGGACACTGCCATCTTGTCTTTATTTCAACATCCTCCATCCACTTGTAGCAAAGTGTTACATTTATAATCCAGTAAATGCTAATTGATATATTTTTCATATTGATCTGCCCACATAACAGCACACATTCCTTGATGAGTTTTACCCTTTTTGTTCTTTCAGTTCTTTTCTGTCTTTTTCAATTCTCCAGTAGCACAATCCTCCTTCTGGGATGCTATAAAACCACTTATAATAATTCCCATGTACATTGGGAAAGAATACAGATTTCTGGTGTGTCTTTTGGCAACTACTAGCACATTCACAGGCAGGCTATTCAGTGATGCTGTATGTTGCTCTAGGCTAAATTTACCTGAATCTCCATTGTAGTAATAATAATCAACTACCATCCTGTGGATGGGGTTAGTAAGGGCTCATGTAGACAGGTGTTATTTTGCATTTGTCATGCATTAAAAAGCCATGGCAAGTGCAGATTAGCAGATTCCCTATGACCTCAGTGAAGTAGTGTAGATCAGTGTTTTTCAAACTTTTTTTTACTGAAGGCACCCTTTAAAATTATGCACAATCTTGAGGCACCCCATACTAAAATGTGAAAACTTAACTAAACGGTTTACATAATGCAGCAACACCCACCCATGCAGGATACCCATAGTTAAAGGTGATTTATTCTTACAAAGCACACTGGTACTGACTAGTATTCCATTGTTTCTTTCCTCCCTCAGTTTCTATCCCTCGCTAAGCTAACGTGACCCCAGTGCTGACAGAGTGGAGGAGGGGCAAAAAAACCACCAATGTCCTTCTTATCAACCAATCACATCACTGATTGTTTGGATGCAGTGTAGCTAGAAGGTTGTAATGGTGCACAATGTAAACCTGTGGCTTTATGTAACTAAAAAGCAGTCTTGCTGTGTTTTTGCGGCAGATCAGTGTGAAAGTAGCCTTTAGCAGAGGAAGCTGTGTCCTTGCAGCCAATGCTTCCCAATTGACAGCAATTTGGCTGCCTCAACAGGGATGCACAAGACAACTGCATACCTTGTGCAGGTAAACAAGGTCAAGGCGACATTTATGTATGTCCTGTGAGAACAAGGCCTAAATCTCCCAGTCCTGAAGGAAAGGATGCTGTAGGAAGGAAAGAGAAACAACATGCTGATAGAACCACAAGTAGTTTTCAACTTTCAGCTTTTCAGCTGATCTGTGACACAGTTTAGGTCTTATTAAAAGGAATGAGAGGTAAACGATTTTTTAAACAAGTTAGAAAGGCCTGAAACCTGAGCTTTTAGTGCTTTTAACCACTCGCCTACAGGGCACTTATATCCCCTTCCTGTCCAGGCCAATTTTCAGCTTTCAGCACTGTCACACTTTGAATGACAATTGCACGGTCATGCAACACTGTACCCATATGAATTTTTTACAATTTTTTTGAGACAGATAGAGCTTTCTTTTGGTGGTATTTAATCACCTCTGGTTTTTTTTATTTTTTGCTAAACAAGCCAAAAAGTTTGAAAAAAAAAAGTGATTTTTTTCATTCACTGATGTGCGCTAATGAGGCTGCAGTGATGGGCACTGATAGACTGCACTGATGGACACTGATAGGTGGCACTGATGGGCACTGATGAGGAGGCACTGGTAGGTGGCACTGATTGGCATTGACAGGCATCACTGATGGGCACTGAAAGGCAGCACTCATATATGGCACTGATAAGCGGCACTGATAGGTGGCACTGATAGGCGGCACTGACTGGCACTGATAGGCGGCACTGACTGGCACTGTTAGGTGGCACTGGCTGGCACTGATAGGCAGCACTGACGGGCACTGATAGGCGGCACTGATGCGCACTGATAGGTAGCACTGGCTGGCATTGATAGGTGGCACTGATAGGTAACACTGAAAGGCAGCTCAGATGGGCACTGATATGTGGCATTGATGTGCACTGGTAGGCACTGATATGTTGCATTGATGTGGAACTGATGGGCACTGGCAGGTGGCATGATGAGCACTGACAGCTGGCACTGATGGACACTGACAGATGGCACTGCTGGGGCTACACAGAACATCAGGGCACACTGATCATCAGTGCCCTGATGATCAGTGCACATGTCCCCTCTGAGTAAAGCCGATTATCGGCTCTCCTCTCCTATCGAGCTGTCAGCGTGACAGCTCGTGAGGAGAGAAATGCCGATAACTGGCATTTCCCTATTAACATGTGATCAGCTGTGATTGAACACAGCTGATCACATGACCGAGCCGACATCTTCGGCTCTTTCCATTGATCGGTGATCCGTTGTGTCTGAGGGACATGCGCGGTTAGGATGGAAGGACGTCATATGACGTCCTCCCAGAATGAGAGAACCGCCTTGCACCCGTCATTACCTTATATGGTGGGCGGGAGGCAGTTAAAGAAAGTTTAATGCTGGTGCAGACCCAACCATTTTCAAACCCTCCCCTACTATATTTTTTATATTTTAAATGTTTTACACTTTTTACAGATTAGAATGTTTTAATGCTTTTCATTTATTATTTTTCAATGTAATTGATCTTTTCTTTGAAAGCTGTCCCTGCAGTGTTTAAACAAACATGACGGGCAAGGAGTGAATGGCTGTAAGTAACACTTTCACGTTATCATATCCCTTGAGTTAAAGGCAGGACAGCCGTTTTCTGCTGCCACAGACATGTTTACCAAAGGAATGACCTTGAATGGATCTAAATTATGTTCTATTTGTTAATTTGGATGCATACGACGCCAGTCAATATTGTACAATCAGCTCATGCCATTTCTCTTGGTAGTTTGGACTGCCATTCGAAAATATCAAATCCTTTTGATTCGAATCTGTCCAATTCGATAATATATCAAATACACTCAACGGTCACTTTATTAGGTACACCTTTCTACTGCCAAGAAAATATCCCCCACACCATTATACCACCACCGCCAACTGGAACCGTTGATACAAGACAGGATGGATCCATGCATTTATGTTGTTGATGCCAAATTATGACCCTACCATCTTAATGTCGCAGCTACCAGTCTTCCCATTCTCCTCTGACCTCTGACACCAATAAGGCTTTTTCATCCCCACAACTGCTGCTCACAGGATATTTTCACTTTTTCAGACCATTCTCTGTAAGCCCTAGAGATGGTTGTGCATGAAAATTCCAGTAGATCAGCATTTTTTTAATATACTCAGACCAGCCCCTCTGGCACCAAAAACCATCCTGAGTTCAAAGCCACTTAAATCTTCTTTCTTCCCCAATCTGATGCCCAGTTTGAACTTCAGTAAGTTGTCTTCACCACATCTATATGCCTAAATGCATTGAGTTGCTGACTAGCTTATAAGCAATTTGAGTTACCAAGCAATTGAATAGGTATACCTATTAGAGTGACTGGTGAGTGTATGAAGCAATCTTCTGGAAAAACTGCAACATTTTTAGAATCTACACAGACCAACAAATATATGAAATTAATTCTGAAGATACAAAATTAATTCCGAAAATGAATCCGTTCAACATAACAAATATAAACGAAAGAATGTGAACATTTCCAGTCTACTGTTTTTGAATGTTCTATAACAATTATGTAATTTTGCAATTTGTTCTGTTACCGGCTATTTACCTATTATTTACCTATTAGTAATGGCATAAAGCACTTCTGAGTTAAAAAAAAAATGTTGAAGATACTGCAGAGGATGCAGCAATGTAAAATTGCCCAGCAGCAGGACAGTTTTAACCAAGGATAATAAGCCTAACCAATCTATGCCTACCTTTTATTGCATGGGGATAGGGGTGTGTTAACATTTGAGGTGGTTTGAGTGCACAATGCTCTAGCACCTTTTTTTTTTAATTTTGGCTTTCAGATGGTGCCATAAAATAAGCTATTGGACAGACTGCCAGAAACAGCTGCCTGATACTCTTCAATCACTCCAAGTTTAAGGAATAATCTTACAAAAAATAAAGACAAAATACCGATTTTAGTAGGAAAAGTAATAACTGAAGAGCTAGGCATCAATCAGTTGTTTTAGACAAGTGAAATAGGTTATTGAATGTAAAGATCTGTTCACACAGGCATGGCCAATAAGAACAGCACTACAATTCAAACAACTCAAGCATAGGTTGTTAAAATAGTTTATTACACTGGGTTTACAAAAAAATAAATAAACAAATAAATAAATTGCAGCCAGAAACATTTAGGAAAGGTGCCCTGTGATAATACACCACCCTGTAGTAAAATACATGTGGGCAGGCTATGAAAAAAATAAATTGCAGCCAGCAAAAACTATAAGATACTGTGCATGTGGAGAGGCTGTAAAGAAGCTGTAGGACACACATATGCAGCATTAAAATGTAAAAATCATTCCCTCCCTCCACCCCTATATTCCCCAATATACATTGTTCACCCTAAAAAAAATTCAGTAAGGGTGTACAGCTACTTGAAATGTACAGTATGTAAACAGCTTTATTGGGCCTCAATTTAAGAGGGAGGGATGAGGCAGCTTCTCTATAAAATGAGGGGTATTACCCTTTTAAACAGTTGTCATTGGAATATATGTCCCCAATGGAAGATTAACTATCAACTCTTGTTCTGGAGGCAACATTAGAATTAGCAGTTTCCTATAATTTTCTATCTTGGTGACATTAATCACCAGGACATAAATTAGTAAATCTCCCTAACATATAAAAAAAATGAAATAAAAGAAAAGAAAAAACAAATAAATGGTTAAATCTCCCTAGGTAGGACATATACAGCATTACAAACTTGACAGGGATTCAAATCTTTCAACACTATCCAAATCTAAAAAAAACTTATTTGGCAATACACATTATTGGAAACTTGAAGTGGAATTGAACTCTCTCATTATAATATAATTACATTTTTTTTTTTTACATTTCTTCAGTTGCTTCCTGCTTTCTGGTCTAGGCCAAAGTGATGTCATACATCCCAGGAGTCTTCATGGGCATTTTCTTCTTTCATCTGGAGGAGGGCGGGAGGGGTTTTCTAAGCAAGGCATGCCCTCATGCATGCATGCCTGAGCTAAGGGCTGCTCGATTCCAGAAAGTAAATGCTGCTTGAATCATCTGCCCTTACTAAAGAAGGTCATGGCTAGATATGTAGGGGTGTTTTTAAAGAGATTTCTCAACAAAATAAAGCATAAAGACACACATGGATGTGTGAGTTTGCTTTGTATATTAAAAATGAATTAAATAGCGTTTTCTGTTTGTTGTGCTCAGATTTAATTTAGTTCCACTTTAATAATCAAGGTTAGGCGTAGGGATTAAATTGAAGTTAGGGATTGCAAAGTCACTATTTATTTTTTTATACGATAAATAATTTTTTGAGAGCAAAATGTGTTTAATATACAGTATATTGTAAAAGTTATTTGTATTGAAATTTTGATTGTAAAACTTTGGATTGTACAAGCATGAAACTATCAATATGGACTCTAAAACAATGTACAGTTTTTACAAATTCATGCTTGTTAAATACCCAAAATGTATTTACTAAATATAATGCTAAAATAAAAAAGTGTCAGTGTTGCTTTAAGTGTAGGGAGTCTACTGTCTGTTCTTAATTAACTTGGTGGTAGAAATAGAGACATTGCTGCAGGTTTGTAAAAATGTGAAGGCGAGGAAAAAAAAGAAGTGCTTATGCATGCTCTCATTAATAATATAATGCATGATGAATTGGCTTTCTTACAGGCAAATCTAAGGGCACACAGCTGCACTTCTCCATCCTGCTCCTATAAGGAATTTCGATCTGCTGAATGACCTGCCATTAAATAACAGTACTGTATTCAGAGACAGACTCAGTTTATATTTCACAGTAAAGTCTATTTAGAGGCCATGCATTAATCCGCCTGGTTACAAGGTCCACGTTTTTTGTGTGTGGTGAGTGTTTATGTAACCAGGTTCAATGTTTTGGCTCAGAAGCAAGTGGATGTTGAAGGGGGACAATCATCAAGCTGCAATTATTTAAAATAATATTTGATTATTCTATGTATTATTGAACAGACCTTTGTAATGTAAGGCCTCCATTGGCGAATGGGTGCTTTCTAAAAGGGAAGAGACATGTGTCTATGTTAATAAAGTGCCAGGTCCCATGTTGGTTTTTCAACACTTTAGCCTGTGGGCACACAGGTTTTGTAACACTGCTTTTCTAGAACACCTTTTGTATATAGAGGTTGTTTAATTGTTTTCTCAACCTTAACCTGGCTTAGAATATTGTGATAACTTGTATATATGACATTAATGAATAGTGAATGTCAGTGAAGTTCCCCTTACAAGAGTATAGGGCTCTCCTACAGGGTATTGTCCCTGTTGACACCCCCGCCCCGATATCCTTCAATTTTGGTTTTAATTTAGTACTTTCTTGGAGAGAGTTTTGCCTAAGAGGTTGCTAGGCAAATTTTCCTGCCATGACAAATTATTTACCCCGAGGAATAAATAGGAGTGTAGGACCTGTAGTGTTCATCAAAGTCGGTGGTAAGAGGAGAGTGAGAAATTAATAGTGCTGTGAGAGGACAACTGGGTCCTCATGGGAGTTCCAGGGCCCACACAGAATTGACAAGGCAGACTTTCCATGGAGAGACCTTCCTTTTTGGGAAACTCCAGGTGTCTCATCTGTTCTTCTCCATAGTGGGTCATACCAGAGAACTCAAGCACTCTGTTGAGAGGTTAGCCAGATGTTGACAGAGAGACGTTGCTATGCAGAACTGTAAACTATGCGGTAATTGACTCATGTTTAATTATGCTGTAATGTACCATTTTGATCATATTGAATTTGTCTGAAGTGACTTCCTAAATCAGATATGTGAACAGTGGCCTATACCTTGGGAGCATGATGTAAGTGTATAGATCAGCTCAGTGAGTTGTTGGGAGAAGGAGGGCAGACCTGCCTGTCTATAGTGAAAGGTCCCCTGTTTTGGACCATGTGCTTAGAAACCCGTTTCTCTGGTATATTTTACCAGGTGTGGGGTGCAGCCCCCAATGATCCAACCTTGGACCACAGGAACAGGGCTCCTAAAAGTCAGTTCTGAAGAGAATTGTTAGCCCCCCTGAGAGAAGGCAGAATCTGAGCTAGGACATAGGTCATGGGCAGGGGCGGACTGACAACTCATGGGGCATCCGGGCAATAGGGGATCATGGGGCCCTGTGTCCTTGCCCAAACTCAAAAAAGCCTATGAAAAAGGTACCAGGGGAATCTCATGGGGCCCCCTACTAACCCCGGGCCCTCGG